AGAAAGAGTCCTTAATCTTGAACTTTCTATACATACTCAGACTTCTTTTGATGTTACTTCAACCATTGATTAGACCATATTTGACCTTATGAACACATTTCTGGACAAAGAGTCCTTAATCTTGAACTTTCTATCTATACTTATAGACTCCTTCTGATGTTTCATCATCAAGACAGTGGTCCATATTTGACCCTTTTAACATATTTCAGGCCAAAAAGTCTTTGAACTTGAACTTTCAATAAATAATAGACTCCTTCTGATATTTCATCAGCCAGACAGTGGTCCATATTTGACATACGTAACATATTTCTTGCCAAAGTCTTATCAAAGGCTAACTTTCTATGCATACTCATAGACTTCTTTTGATGTTACTTCAACCATTGATTAGACCATATTTGACCTTATGAACACATTTCTGGACAAAGAGTCCTTAATCTTGAACTTTCTATCTATACTTATAGACTCCTTCTGATGTTTCATCATCAAGACAGTGGTCCATATTTGACCCACTAAACACATTTCTGGCCAAAGAGTCTTTGAACTTGAACTTTCAATAAATAATAGACTCCTTCTGATGTTTCATCAGCCAAAGAATGGTCCATAGTTTACCTACTTAACATATTTCTGGCCAAAGAGTCTTTGAACTTGAACCTTCTATAAATACTCATATTCTCCTTCCGATGTTTCTTCAGCAAGACAGTGGTCCACATTTGACCTACTGAACACATTTCTGGCAAAAGAGTCCTCGATTTTGATCTTGCTATACATTCTCATAGACTCCTTCTGATGTTTCATCAGTAGTTCAAATAGGATATTTTGAACCTATTTTTGGCCTGAGAGTCCATGAACTTTCTTTAAACACTCATTGACCCCTTCTGATGTTTCATCAGCCAGACAGTGGTCCATATTTGACCTACTTAACATATTTCAGGCCAAAGAGTCTTTGAACTTGCACTTTCTATAAATACTCATAGACTCCTTCTGATATTTCATCAGCCAGACAGTGGTCCATATTTGACATACGTAACATATTTCTTGCCAAAGTCTTATCAAAGGCTAACTTTCTATGCATACTCATAGACTTCTTTTGATGTTACTTCAACCATTGATTAGACCATATTTGACCTTATGAACACATTTCTGGACAAAGAGTCCTTAATCTTGAACTTTCTATCTATACTTATAGACTCCTTCTGATGTTTCATCATCAAGACAGTGGTCCATATTTGACCCACTAAACACATTTCTGGCCAAAGAGTCTTTGAACTTGAACTTTCAATAAATAATAGACTCCTTCTGATGTTTCATCAGCCAAAGAATGGTCCATAGTTTACCTACTTAACATATTTCTGGCCAAAGAGTCTTTGAACTTGAACCTTCTATAAATACTCATATTCTCCTTCCGATGTTTCTTCAGCAAGACAGTGGTCCACATTTGACCTACTGAACACATTTCTGGCAAAAGAGTCCTCGATTTTGATCTTGCTATACATTCTCATAGACTCCTTCTGATGTTTCATCAGTAGTTCAAATAGGATATTTTGAACCTATTTTTGGCCTGAGAGTCCATGAACTTTCTTTAAACACTCATTGACCCCTTCTGATGTTTCATCAGCCAGACAGTGGTCCATATTTGACCTACTTAACATATTTCAGGCCAAAGAGTCTTTGAACTTGCACTTTCTATAAATACTCATAGACTCCTTCTGATATTTCATCAGCCAGAGGGTGGTCCATATTTGACCTACTTAGCATATTTCTGGCCAAAGTCTTTTCAAAGGCTAACTTTCTATGCATACTCATATACTTCTTTTTATGTTATTTCAACCATAGATTAGACCATATTTGACCTTATGAGCACATTTCTGGACAAAGAGTCCTTAATCTTGAACTTTCTATAAATACTCATAGACACCTTCTGATGTTTCATCAGTAATTCAAATATGACTTTTTGTACATATATCTTGCCAGAGAATCCTTAATCTTGATCTTTCTATACATAGTCATTGACTCCTTCTGATGTTTCATCAGCCATACAGTGGTCCATAATTGACCTACTTAACATATTTCTGGCCAAATTCTCTTCAAAGGCTAACTTACTATGCATACTCATAGACTTCTTTTAATATTACTTCAACCATAGATTAGAGCATATTTGACCTTATGAACACATTTCTGGACAAAGAGTCCTTAATCTTGAACTTTCTGTACATAATCATAGAATCTTTATGAAGTTTCATCAGTAGTTCAAATACGACTTTTTGTACATATATCTTGACGGAGAATCATTGAACTTGATCTTTCTATACATACTCATTAACTCCTTCTGTTAACTCCTTTCATCAGCCAGACAGTGGTCCATTTTATACCTACTTAACAAATTTCTGTCCAAAAAGTCTTTGAACTAGAAATTGAACTTTCTATAAATACTCATAGACTCCTTCTGATGTTTCATCAGCCAGACAGTGGTCCATATTTGACTTCCTTAACATATGTCTGTCCAAAGAGTCTGAACTTGAACTTGAACTTTCTATAAATACTCATAGACTCCTTCTGATGTTTCATCAGCCAGACAGTGGTCCATATTTGACTTCCTTAACATATGTCTGTCCAAAGAGTCTGAACTTGAACTTGAACTTTCTATAAATACTCATAGACTCCTTCTGATGTTTTATCACCAGGAGACTAGAGTGGTCCATTTTTGACCTACTTAACATATTTCTGGCCAAAGTCTTATCAAATGCTAACTTGCTATGCATACTCATAGACTTCTTTTGATGTTACTTCAACCATAGATTAGACCATATTTGACCTTACGAGCAGATTTCGGGACAAAGAGTCCTTAATCTTGAACTTTCTATACATACTCATGGACTCCTTTTGATGTTTCATCAGCCAGACAGTGGTCCATATTTGACCTACTTAACATATTTCTGGCCAAAGAGTCTTTGAACTTGAACTTGAATTTTCTATAAATACTCATAGTCTCCTTCTCATGTTACTTCAACCATAGATTAGACCATATTTGACCTTATAAACACATTTCTGGACAAAGTGTCCTTAATCTTGAACTTTCTATTCATACTCTTAGACTCCTTCTGATGTTTCTTCAGTAGTTCAAATATGACTTTTTGTACATATATCTTGCCAGAGAATCCTTGGACTTGATCTTTCTATACATACTCATAGACTCCTTTTGATGTTTTATCAGCCAGACAGTAGTCTAAACTTGACCTACTGGACATATTTCTGGCAAAAGAGTTCATCAAAGGCTAACTTACTATTCATTCTCATAGACCTCTTTTGATGTTACATCATCCATATTTTAGTCCATATTTGACCTATTAAACATTTTTCTGGCCATAGAGTCGTTGGACTTGAACTTGAACTTTCTATACATACTCATAGACTCATTCTGATATTTCATTAGTCAGACAGTAGTCCATATTTTAACTAACGAATATATTTCTGGCAAAATAGGCCAGATCATCAAAATCATCAAAGGCTACCTTTCTATGCGTTCTCATAGACTCCTTTTGATGTTACATCAAGCATATATTAGTCCACATTTGAACTATTGAACATTTTTCTAGCCAAAGAGTCTTTGGACTTGAACTTGAACTTTCTCTACATGAACTTGAACTTTCTATACTCATAGACTCATTCTGATATTTCATCAACCAGACATTAGTTCATTTTGACCTATTGAACATATTTCTGGCCAAAGAATCATTAAAGGCTATCTTACTATACATTCTCATAAACTTCTTTTGATATTATATCAACCATATATTAGTCCATATTTGACCTATTGAACACATTTCCGAGTATATTTACCGTATATAAAGGTAAAGTTTAAAGACTCTTTGACCAGAAATATGTCATATTACTGTAAGTCATATTTGAACTACTGTTGAAACATCAGAAGGAGTCTATAGAAATTGAGCATATATAAAATGTTCCAAATCAAAGACTCAGAAATATGTTCGTTATGACAAATTTGAAAACTTGTCTGGGTGATATAACATCTGAAGGAGTCATCAGTATGTATGTTAAGTTAAAATTCAAGGACTCTTTGGAAAGTTCAAGATCTTGGACTCATTGGCCAGAAATGTTTTCAATATGTCAAATATGGATTCATATATGGTTGATGTAACATCAAAAGAAGTCTATGAAAATGGATAGTAAGTAAGCCCTTGATGATACTTTTGCCAAAAATATGTTCTGTAGGTCAAGTTTGGACTACTGTCTGCCTGATAAAACATCATAAGTCTATATGTATAAAAAGTTCAAGTTCAAGGACACTTTGGCCATTTATGGGGAATAGGTCAAATAAGGACTAATATAATGGTTAATTTAACATCAAATGAGTCTGCATTGTAAGTTAGATTTTGATGACTATTTGGTCAGAAATATGTTCAGTAGGTCAAATATGGACTACTGTCTGGCTGATGAAACATTCAAAAGAGTGTGTGTATGAATAGAAAGTTCTAAATATATTCTAAATGTCAAATTTGAACTACAGGATGGTTGAAGAAACATCAGAACAAGTCTATATGTTTAGAAAGTTCAATGTAGATGACTCTTTGGCCAGAAATGTGTTCAATAGGTCAAATGTAGACTAATATATGGTTTATTTAGCATTAAAAGAAGTCTATGAGAACACATAGTAAGTTAGACTGTGATAAAATTTTGGCCAGAAATATGTTACTGTAACTGTCTTGCCAGAAATATGTTCAGTAGGTCAAGTTTGGACTACTGTCTGGCTGCTGAAACATTAGAAGAAGTCTATGAAAATGTTTAGAAAGATCAAGTTCAATGATTCACTGACAAAAAATATGTTCAAAAGGTCAAATTTGGCTGAAGAAACATCAGAACAAGTCTCTATGTTTAGAAAGTTCAAGATTAAGGACTCTTTGTCCAGAAATCTGAGAAATCTGCTCATTTGTTATGTAAGTCAAAAATGGACCACTCTCCTGCTGATAAAACATCAGAAGGAGTCTATGAGTATTAATAGAAAGTTCAAGATTAAGGATTCTTTGACCAGAAATGTGTTCATAAGGTCAAATATGGTCTAATCTATGGTTGAAGTAAAAACAAAAGAAGTCTATGAGTATTTATAGTAAGTTAGCCTTTGATAAGACCTTGGCCAGAAATATGTTAAGTAGGTCAAATATGGACCACTCTCTGGCTCATGAAACATCAGAAGGAGTCTATGAGTATTTATAGAAAGTTCAAGTTCAAAGACTCTTTGGACAGAAATATGTTAAGTGGGTCTAATATGGACAACTGTCTGGCTGATGAAACGTCAGGAGTCTATAAGTATTTATAGAAAGTTCAAGTTCAAGTTCAAAGACTCTTTGTCCAGAAATGTGTTTATAAGGTCAAATATGGTCTAAACTATGGTTGAAGTAACATCAAAAGAAGTCTGAGTATGCATAGTAAGTTAGCCTTTAATAAGACCTTGGCCAGAAATATGTCAAGTAGGTGGTCCACTGTTAAATGTTAAATATGTTAAGCATGAACCACTGTCTGGCTGATGAAACATCAGAAGGAGTCTATGAGTATTAATAAGAAAGCTCAAGTTCAAGTTCAAAGAATCTTTGGACAGAAATATGTTAAGTAGATCTAATATGGACCACTCTATGGCTGATGAAACATCAGAAGGAGTTAATGTATAGTTTGTATAGAAAGATCAAGAACAAGGATTCTCCGGCAAGATATATGTACAAAAAGTCATATTTGAACTACTGATGAAACTTCAGAAAGAGTCTATTATTATGCATAGAAAGATCAAGATTAAAGACTCTTTGTCCAGAAATGTGTTCATAAGGTCAAATATGGTCTAATCTATGGTTGAAGTAACATCAAAAGAAGTCTATGAGTATGCAAAGTAAGTTAACATATTTCTGGCCAAAGTCTGTTCTAAGGCTAAGTAGGTCAAATATGGACCACTGTCTGGCTGATGAAACATCAGAAGGTGTCTATGAGTATTTATAGAAAGTTCAAGATTAAGGACTCTTTGTCCAGAAATGTGCTCATAAGGTCAAATATGGTCTAATCTATGGTTGAAGTAACATCAAAAGAAGTCTATGAGTATAAATAGTAAGTTAGCCTTTGATAAGACCTTGGCCAGAAATATGTTAAATAGGTCAAATATGGACCACTCTCTGGCTGATGAAACGTCAGGAGTCTATGAGTATTTATAGAAAGTTCAAGTTCAAGTTCAAAGACTCTTTGTCCAGAAATGTGTTTATAAGGTCAAATATGGTCTAAACTATGGTTGAAGTAACATCAAAAGAAGTCTATGAGTATGCATAGTAAGTTAACATATTTCTGGCCAAAGTCTGTTCAAAGTAGGTCAAATATGGACCACTGTCTGGCTGATGAAACATCAGAAGGTGTCTATGAGTATTTATAGAAAGTTCAAGATTAAGGACTCTTTGTCCAGAAATGTGCTCATAAGATCAAATATGGTCTAATCTATGGTTGAAGTAACATCAAAAGAAGTCTATGAGTATGCATAATAAGTTAGCCTTTGATAAGACCTTGGCCAGAAATATGTTAAGTAGGTCAAATATGGACCACTCTCTGGCACATGAAACATCAGAAGGAGTCTATGAGTATTTATAGAAAGTTCAAGTTCAAAGACTCTTTGGACAGAAATATGTTAAGTGGGTCTAATATGGACCACTCTATGGCTGATGAAACATCAGAAGGAGTTAATGCATAGTATGTATAGAAAGATCAAGAACAAGGATTCTCCAGCAAGGTATATGTACAAAAAGTCATATTTGAACTACTGATGAAACTTCAGAAAGAGTCTATTATTATGCATAGAAAGATCAAGATTAAAGACTCTTTGTCCAGAAATGTGTTCATAAGGTCAAATATGGTCTAATCTATGGTTGAAGTAACATCAAAAGAAGTCTATGAGTATGCATAGTAAGTTAACTTATTTCTGGCCAAAGTCTGTTCAAAGGCTAAGTAGGTCAAATATGGACCACTGTCTGGCTGATGAAACATCAGAAGGTGTCTATGAGTATTTATAGAAAGTTCAAGATTAAGGACTCTTTGTCCAGAAATGTGCTCATAAGGTCAAATATGGTCTAATCTATGGTTGAAGTAACATCAAAAGAAGTCTATGAGTATGCATAGTAAGTTAGCCTTTGATAAGACCTTGGCCAGAAATATGTTAAGTAGGTCAAATATGGACCACTCTCTGGCACATGAAACATCAGAAGGAGTCTATGAGTATTTATAGAAAGTTCAAGTTCAAAGACTCTTTGGCCAGAAATATGTTAAGTAGGTCAAATATGGACCACACGGCTTATGAAACGTCAGACGCACTCTGTGAGCATGTATAAAAAGATCAAGTTCAAGAACTCTCTGGCCAGATTTATGTACAAAATATCAAATTTGAACTACTGAATTAACATCAGAACATTTCTTTATGTTTAGAAAGTTCAAGTTCAAAGACTCTTTGGACAGAAATATGTTAAGTGGGTCTAATATGGACCACTCTATGGCTGATGAAACATCAGAAGGAGTTAATGTATATGTATAGAAAGATCAAGAACAAGGATTCTCCAGCAAGATATATGTACAAAAAGTCATATTTGAACTACTGATGAAACTTCAGAAAGAGTCTATTATTATGCATAGAAAGATCAAGATTAAAGACTCTTTGTCCAGAAATGTGTTCATAAGGTCAAATATGGTCTAATCTATGGTTGAAGTAACATCAAAAGAAGTCTATAAGTATGCATAGTAAGATAACATATTTCTGGCCAAAGTCTGTTCAAAGGCTAAGTAGGTCAAATATGGACCAGTGTCTGGCTGATGAAACATCAGAAGGTGTGTATGAGTATTTATAGAAAGTTCAAGATTAAGGACTCTTTGTCCAGAAATAGCTCATAAGGTCAAATATGGTCTAATCTATGGTTGAAGTAACATCAAAAGAAGTCTATGAGTATGCATAGTAAGTTAGCCTTTGATAAGACCTTGGCCAGAAATATGTTAAGTAGGTCAAATATGGACCACTCTCTGGCACATGAAACATCAGAAGGAGTCTATGAGTATTTATAGAAAGTTAAAGTTCAAGTTCAAAGACTCTTTGTCCAGAAATGTGTTCATAAGGTCAAATATGGTCTAATCTATGGTTGAAGTAACATCAAAAGAAGTCTATGAGTATGCAAAGTAAGTTAGCCTTTGATAAGACCTTGGCCAGAAATATGTTAAGTAGGTAAAATATGGACCACTCTCTGGCTCATGAAACATCAGAAGGAGTCTATGAGTATTTATACAAAGTTCAAGTTCAAAGACTCTTTGGCCAGAAATATGTTAAGTAGGTCAAATATGGACCACACGGCTTATGAAACGTCAGAAGCACTCTGTGACCATGTATAGAAAGATCAAGTTCAAGAACTCTCTGGCCAGATTTATGTACAAAAGATCAAATTTGAACTACTGAATTAACATCAGAACACGTCTTTATGTTTAGAAAGTTAAAGGTAGAGGACTCTTTTGGCCAGAAATATATTCAAGGATAAATGCAGAAAACAACTAACTAATTTTGCTGTTCATTGAAGAGATTACGTTTGTTGCATTGCATTGTAATATCTATTTTACTATGTGTATTGGAGATAAACCATCTGTGCTGCTTGCACAGCAATGCACACAAGAACTATACTTTTTCGGTTGTGCATTGAGATAACATAAGCACGGATTCATTTAATTGAACATAATCTTAAAACTTAAAACTAAAACTTAATCTAAAAACTTACTGAATTCGTCGTGCTATAAAGTATAATACTATGCTAAATATGCTATCTTTCATAGCATTCATAAACTAACTTGTTTCGTTTTGCAATGAAGAGATATTGCATTACATATGAGTGGTTGCATCGCAACGCATACAGAACTAATTTATTCCCATGTGCATTGAAGAAGTAGCACATGACATACCGGTATGTGATGTTTCATTGCAATCCATGCACGAGATAAATGAATCCGCTATGCATTTATTTGCATGCAAAATCTAACTTATTTCTGTGCATTGAAGAGTACAACATATGTAGCATAGCGCTGCATCCAGGACCTAAGTTTACTGACTTTATGCATTGAGGAATCACATTAGTGACATGGTCTTTTTCATTGAACTGTATACAATAACTAACTTATTCTATTGTGAATTATTCAATCTTCGGTTGTGTATTCTTCAAAGTTAGATCTTGTAATGCAATGCAACAGCACACATGTATTCTCTTCAATGAACCGCAAAATGAGTTAGATGTTGTATGCATTGGAATGCAAAAGCACGTGTTGTGACATCCGAAAGTGGGTAACACAACATGCATGCTTTTGCATTCCAATGCATAAAACAACTAACTCATTTTGCTGTTCATTGAAGAGATTACATGTGTGTTGTTGCAATGCATTGCAAGATATTACTTGGAGATAAATCATCTTGCTGTTGCATTGCAATGCATACAAAAACGAACTTATTCCGATGCATTTTACTGTTCCTCTTCTAGTGCATTGCATACTCAGTCTAACTTATTTCACTGGGCAATTAAGAGATATCGCATAACATATGAGCTGTTGCTTTGCAACGTATTGCATTGCAAAGCTATGCATTTTGCACAGCAATGCATAAAGAACTAAACTCATTCCGTTGTGCATTGAAGATATAACATCTGGACTGTTTCATTGAACATACTCAATCTAACTGAATTCGTTGTGAAGTGAAATACATGAAATATGCTATCTTTCATGGTATTGTATAAAATAACTAATTTGTTTTGTTTTGAAAGGAAGAGATATTACATTACATATGAGCAGTTGCATCGCAACTTACACAGAATTAATTAATTCCCCTGTGCATTGAAGAAGTAGCACTGACATACTTGATGTTTCATTGCAATCCATGCACGAGACAAATTAATCCGTTGTGCATTTATTTGCATGCAAAAGCTAACGTTTTCATTTTGCATTGGAGAGATACAAC